TAATAACAGTAATAATAATAACAGTAATAATAATAACAGTAATAATAATAACAGTAATAATAATAATAGTAATAATAATAACAGTAATAATGACGACAGTAATAATAATAACAATAATAATAAATAACAATTATAATAACAATAATAATAACAATAATAATAACAATAATAACAGTAATAATAACAATAATAATAACAACAGTAATGACAACAATGACAATGATAATAACAGTAATAATAACAATAATAATAACAGGAAGTGAACAAATAAATAATGACAATGATAATAATAATAATAATAATTGTAGAAATTTAAGTAATAAAATGTGATTTTGAGAAATGACAGCAAGGAGGGAAGAAAAAATATTTCTGTAGCAGAAAAAAAAGTGCGTAATTTGAAGATGAAAGTAGATAATATATTTTAAATGTAACTAAATAGGAATGTTCGGTCCACTGGGGTTTGTTTTGATGTAATTTTCTGATTTCAAGAAACCTAGAATTCGAAGGTGGGGGTCGGTGGAGGAGAAATTTAAAGCGGGGGAGTGTACTGCGGCCTACAGTTTTGACCGTTTTTCAGTTCATTAAGTTTTTTCATTTAATTTTTTGGTTTCAAGAAGTCGGAATTTCGAAAGTGGTGGGTCGTTGGAGGAAAGGATTGAGGACGGGGGCCTACAGTTTTTTATCGTTTTTGAGGTAATGCTGTAGAACTGCATTGAATGTGCACATGCAAAAAAATCTAATCATTTCTGCGATAGTACTTTGATCTTATTGGATTTGAAATGTCCAAATTCGTTGACCAAGGCTGAGACTCAATTCTCACCATGCTTTGTCCTCCCCCATCGCATTGTTGTTGCTATTAGTGACGCATGCAGCTCCTAGTGACCGTTGGTCAGAAATAGCCCGTCCCTCCGTCCCCTTTTCCCCTCTTTTCTGAAATTTCACACTTCTTTTTTACGTCACTCCCCATATTTGCCGTTGGCGGCGATGGGACTTTTGAGCGTTAAATATTAATTCACTTTTTGCGTGAATATAACATCTCCAAAATAATCCCACTATCTTTTTCAATGAATTTTTGCTTCTTTTTGAACACTTTTTTTTATGTTTTTTTTCTCCCTCTTTCCGCCAAAATTTCGCGTCTTCTGATTCATCTTTCTGCACTTTTTTCTCAAAGGCGTTTAGATTTTTTGACAAACAACCGCTCTAGCAACACTTCCACTTTTCAGTGAAAATTTGTATTTTTCATTTTTTCACCTGGTTTTTGACTGGACAGTGGTCCATCAGTTCGGCACGATACATTTGTTCATTGAATCGGGCGGCATAGGCGAGTCCAAGTTGGGCCCCTGGAGCTACGCAAAAATTAGGGATAGAGCTGTAACACAGTGCTCTACTTAATGTTGCACCACAAAAAAATTTTTTATCAATTTAACCCATTTTGGTCGCCGTCCCACTTGGACCGTCCACTTCTGATTCGGCCTTCTAATGGCAATTATAATTTTTTGCTTCCTTTTGCGCACTTTTTTTATATTTTTGTCTCCCTCTTTCCGCCAAAATTTCGCGCCTTCTGATTCATTTTTCTGCATTTTTTCCGGTGAGAGCATTTAGATTTTTTGACAAACAACCGCTCTAGCAACACTTCCACTTTTTAGTGGACTGGAAATTTGTATTTTTTTTCGAAAAATTTGTATTTTAGTTTTATTTATGAACAGACCTGGATTTTTGCAGTATTGGTACCTACTCGCTGCGGGTGGGGGAGGGGGCCAAGTCCCGGATCCGCCTGTACTAGACAAATGTGTATGCCGTAAAAACATTCTTTTTCTTTGGTTTTTTTCCCCCAAATTGCTACTTTTGTTGCGTATCACTATGCCATATTGCTGTGTTTTGTTGTTCCATTGATGAGCAGTGTAGTCATCTTCCATTCTGCTGCCATGATTGTTGTTGCTGTGACCGAAACTGCGTCACCTGCTGCTGTTCTGGTCAATCTGCCACCGGACCTGTTGCTGCTCCTGCTACTTGTCACAACGTTTTTTTGTTCATTCTGTCAGTATGATGAGTTTTTTTCTTCCGAAATTCGTCCGTTTCGATTGTTAAAAGTGATATTCGGTACTAAAATTTGGTATATTTTTGCAGATAGTTCGGTGACAAGGGAATGCGGATCTGGAAATGGCGTCTTTCTAGCGTTCTTTGTATTGCTGCTGCTTGTTGCCTTCCACTGGCATATTGCCGCCTACAGAATCACGATTTGAAAGTTCGTCTTTTTTTTTCTCATAGTTTCAATCATTATTTTTTTCATGTAAAAATAAAATTTAAGTGCATTTTTTCTGTTTTCAAAAACAGAGAGATTGTCGGAAGAGATCCGAATTTAGACATTTCTTTACCAGGGGCGACTAATTGTTGAGTTGAGAAGGAGTCATGGAAGAGAAAGAGAAGGGGGGGGGGGAAGAAAATCATGATTTTTTTCTATGTTGATTATTTTGAGATAAGCTAACTAGTCTTTCGGCTTCTCAGGTCCCCGAGTTGTCAACTTACCCGAAAAAAAACTTCACGGGCCGGTATGCGGGCAGCACGCATACCTGATAAGGGCTGGGTTTGAACTCATTAATACATACTTGGACGAGGAACTCGATATAATTGTCCCTTTTTTTTCCAAAAAAACAGTAGGTGTAAGTTAGATTTAGTTATTATGAATGAGAGTCGTTTTATTTTTACAGTAAATTTGGGACTTACTCCCAAGTTTTGATTTAATGCGAAGGATGAAGAGGGTTTCTTACGTATATTACGGGACATATATTACGATTGGAACTCAGTAAACACATAACAGAGAGCCTACCTTGGTCCTAGGCCAAGGGTGAGGTATAGGAGTACAGTTCCTGTTCAAAATTAGCGCGCCGTGATGTCCAAAGGTTGTAGAAGGGACTGTATAACGAGAAAAATTCTAAAATTTTAGAATCAGCACTTGCTACAGGCTCTTGAAACAAGCATTTCATCTAGTTGCCCAATTTTCCTGAGAAATGACAGCGGATAAGTATCCCAACAGAGTGGAATAATAGGCAAAAACTCTGCTTCAAAAGGTTCTGGGGCTGGAACTTGATGATTACTTTCACTAGTTAGCTGTGTTGTAAAAAAAAGCTGCTGTTTGCAGCCAGTGAATGACGCTGGTTTCATAACAACGGAGAAGAAAACGCATATAGCCGGAATCCGAGTGGAAGGCCTACCAACCGAGGATAACGGCTTCGTCGGATACAGGTTAGCCTCTCCCCGGTTTTCATCCTCTTCTGGTTATTTTACCGCCCAGCTTGCGCTGATGGCCAATATGTGTGGTGTAGTGTATCAGTAAGAGTGGCGCTAGCAACTTGTTGCACGTATTTTATGGTGAAGATGAATCAGGTTCGAAAAAAATGCTCTAGGCACGACTGTATTTCTGTAAAATTAGCAACTCGGCACAAATTGTCTGGGCGGTATTTTTTTGGACATTCCTTCCTGTAGTCCGTGGTTTTCTTATGAATTCAACGACTTGAATGGAATCTGATAATTATAATTTTCGGCCATTAGAAGGCCAAACTGTAGCCCTAAAAACAAAAACCAACTGGATAAGGAGAAGTTTAAACTTGGAAAAGTAAGTAAATATATAGAAAAGGAGGACAGCATGACGCTAGGCGACGGTTTTCACCTGTCAGCTCATAGCTTTTGTTTTCAAGAATATCATTTTAGTTCGTGCAAAACTGTTGAACTCGATTTTGAGGCAAAAACTGCAATTATTTAAGCTGTTACATAGTGCTTTTCAAAAGATAAAAAATAATGGTATTGGGAAAACGCGATTTTTTGTGCTCGTTTAACCATTATTTCTACCGAAAAAAAAGAAATTACGCTGTTTTATGATTCATTTACTGGTTCTGAAACTGAAGAAAAATCTGATAATTTGATACCCTATTCCAAGTATTTCTGTAACAACTTATAGCACTTGCGTTATTGGGTCCTTGGATTATGAACCGCTCTGGTCTGGATTTCTAGGGAGAAATCAACGAACATGGGAAGTAGAGGAAAGGAACAGGCTCATGATCCATGGACCCATAACACAAAATACGATTCAGAAAAAACATAAGTTCTGTCAACTGTTACAAAAATACTAGAAATAACCGAAAAAGCTGTTTTGATCTAACTCTTCGTTTATGTAGCCGGTAACTTTACCATAGACAGTGATACTGTGTTTCCCACATCCACACCGTTCCACGCATTACGGTTAGGGGGTCAGCTCAAGGACTAGTGATGAAGTAAACATTACCATTTTTCCTACGAAAGCCTTTTTTTAGGCGGAGGGGGGGGGGGAAGGGCGGGGGGGGAAAGGGGTTATTACAGCTTGCGTTGAAATTATCAAAAATTAAC